TTGCAACCAATTTTCTGATGCTTTGTATTCCTGAACAACTCCACACCAACCAGTTCTCGATGCGTCAACATCATCTACAAACTGTCGCGTATGAGAATAGAACAACAAGGTCCAACTGTCTGCCCAAACGATAAAAGACGTTTAATGACTGGTGGATCATGTTGTTTATAGACAACAAGGTGGCACTAAAGATGGTATTGGAAGGGGGCTCGACTCAGTGGCAAAAGGATATTATGAGGCAAATTTAGAAGGTTTGTGTAGCAGGCAATATTGGGATATTTAGTACAAGGTAGATCCCAAGCAAATTAAACCTAGCAGATTTTCTGACAAAGGTAATAGATTTGGGAGACTGGGTAGTGAGTTCAGAGGTCATAGACTAGCTGGAGAGAATGTGGGGAAAATTTAATATTGACAGGATTGTGAGCCATTTAAATGCAAGGACTGAACAATTCAACAGCCTATATTTTTGCCCAGTGACAGAAGTGGTGGATTACTTTATACAAGATTGGGCTGGAGTAAGAAATTATGTATGTCCGCCATTCAAACAAATTCACAGGGCATTGTGTTATACAAGGGAATACAAAGCATAGTTGATCATATAATTCGAGTATGGGTGTCAGCCCTTGGTGGCCATTGATCATGAACTTCTCAAGAAAAGAGATCAATTTATCAGCACCAAACCAAATTATTTGGCCGGGTCCATCCAGAAAATGGAGCCTTGCAAGAACAGTCAGTAGCATCTGAGAGCAGTGTTGCTGGATTGGTCAAAGGATTGCTTGGTAAGGCTGAGTATTTAATGGACAATTCGATTAGTGTTCCATATAAAAAAGATCTGGAAAAAGCATGGTACATCTTTGAGAGTTTTGTTGATTGGGCGGGATTTATGCCATATCTGTCTTTGGGAAAGTTATTGGCAGCCTTTTTGGCATGGTTGGAGGTATCTGGTAGAGCAACAGAAGTTGCTATGTGTCTATCTGCTGTAGCAAGGGAATACAAAGTAAGGAACCTCTGTGATCTGACGAAGGGAAGCATGGTTCAGCTAATTGTAAAAGGAATTAGAAGGTCTTAGGCCCTGGTTAAAACTGAGACTAGGTGGCTAAAAGACCTGTTATTAGTAGCTGTAGTTAAGCGTTACATTATATATCTATCGCCAGAGATCAGTATAGTAATGTGGGCTCATA